GGGGGTTGGTACGGTGCAGTGTGATTTGGGTGGAGACTGCTGCCCCCGCGACCCGGTAACGGATAAGCGGATGAAAATGGATGGATGGATGGATGGAAATTAGATAATTACGTAGATAGTTAGTAGATAGTTACGTCAAACGAATAGTAAATCAAATCAAAGTGAATCAAGGAAAATGAACTCCTTGTCATTGTGACACTGCAAACACAACCAAATGTGACCTGTGTTTTTAACCCATCACCAAAGTGAACAGTGGGCAGCTTTTAGGGAGCAGTGTGTGGGGACGGACCCAAGTTCGCTTCCTCGACCATTGGGCCACCACTGCCCCGGAAATAATCATTTCCGAATGGCTGGATTTAAACCCACGCCACTTTGCCTGCATCACTTTCACTGCCCGTCATTTGAAGATGTGTTTCAACTCAACTCTGTTTTCTCTGGAAAAACAGACTGCGCTAACTTGCTCTGAGATCAACAACATTACTGATACTGATAATTGTAAAATGTTTCAACAGCTGTGGGAGGAAACTGAAGTGTTGGCGCTCGTTCCAGTGTCTCACCCAGGAGCATGTAGCCCCATGCCCTCTGAACAATGGTTGACTGCTTTAAAATATAATTGAGATGAAATTAAAAGGAAACGCACAGATTTCTTTTAATACGTGACTAAGTTGAAGATTAGCTCCAGACAAAGTCATCGACGGCTGCTGATAGCTAACCATGCTAACTGTATCACCAAGGAAACCACCAGCACTGTTTTATCTGAGCTTTCTTAAAATCATTCTTTAAACCAGAGGCTCCCAAAGTGGGCGGCGCCCCTCGAGGGGGCATGGTGTTATTGCACGGAACCTGGGGGGGCAGGGGAGGGGGGAGCGGAAGGTATGGAATGAATGAATGAAACGTAAGGCAATATTCTAAATGGTCAACAAGAGACTGACAAAAAAACAGATTGACAGGTTGAAGGAGGTGTCAAATTTATACCTGATAATAATATTTTATAAAATTTCACTCTTGTTTTTGCTCTCACCAGTTCGATCGGCCCGAAACAGTGCATCTCCAAACCCGCACACAAAATCTTACTCTTGCCAGCTGAGCAAAGTTGCCAATGCTAGCATAAAATGTTAGCATTTAAGGTGCGTAAAAACAGTAACATTTAAAATGTGTGAAATAAAGAAAGTCTGAGGGTCGATGGATGGATGAACCAAAGGGGGGCGCAGTAGAGAAGGTCTGGGAACCACTGCTTTAGACAAACTCTTCAGTTTAAAGACACCGTTAAAATCCTACATTTTAAAGTGGAAACTGGGCTTCAGGTGAACAGATACAGCAGAAGAAGAAAGTTGGCGTGGAAACGTTCATCATACCAACGGGCCACCACTGTGGAGTTAGTGGACACAGCAGAATAAACAGTGTTGTTATTACAGTGCAGGGGAGTGTAGTACCAGTGAAGTCCTGCGCCCTCTGTCTGACGTGTCTCTGTTTGCTCTCCCAGTTGGACCACGTCCCTGGGATTAAGGCTCAGAGTAAACACTCTATCTATGGACATGTTTCCGCCGCAGTTTTGGCTCAGACTTTAGCAGAGCTTGTCAGGTCTCTGCTGCTCCAGCACAGAGTTGCCAGATACGTACACCACCCACACGGTGAGCTCAGAGTGGACGCCCACAGAGATGCGTTCAGTCACACCTGCTCATGATGTCTGGAGACTTCGCTCCTCTGGGAAACGTTTTCCAGCATTTTTTTTTTTTTTGACCATCTCCATTCACTTATCACTTCCTGTTAGCTCAGTGTCAGTGAGGAATACAAGTTAGAAATATTTTAGGTCAGGGGTCCACAACCTCTGGTCCGGGGACTGGTGCCGGTCCGTAGGTCATTTGGTATCAGAGATCATATCAAATGTGTACTGTAGTATACAGCATATATAGCCCCGCGTTATACTGACAGGATTTGTAGTATTAGCAGTGTATGCTCTATGTTATAGCACCTACTTCAAAGATAATTTGTCAATGTTTCAAAGACATTTGTTTTTTTTTTTTTGTTGGCAACATTGACGCAGTATTACCGCAGTAACGTCTGCTCCCGGCCAACTGGTCCAAAAAAAGGGTTGGCGTCATAAAAATCCCAAGTTCCTCTGGAATGTATACTTGGCCTGAAGAAGAAAAAGATTTTGATTTTTAAAATAACACTTTATTATTATCAGTTACATAATCACGAGACAATCAACAAATTAATTAAGGAGCTGTTCAAATTTGAGTCCATTGCCGGTCACCGGGCACAGAAGACGATGTGATTTTTAAAAAGAAGAAGAAGAAGAAGAAGAACAGCCCAGATGTCGTGTCTTCTCTCCAGTGTCTGTCCATATATTTGGCCTATTTTTAGAAACACCTGTTTTCAACGTCTAGTTTGGAGGCGCCTCGATGATCCTCTGATTTTCCAGAAGAGTTTCATCACTGTCTTACTCTCTCTCTCTCTCTCTCTCTCTTTCTCTCGCTCTCTCCTCATATTTAGATTTTCTTTCCACTTAATTCGAACTCTTTGGTCTGAGTGAGAGAAAGCAGAGGTCCAGAGAGAAGGGAGGGGTCGAAGGTTAAACGCTCGTCCATAAATATCGGCCCTCCCTCTCTCAGCCGTGATGATGTCACCACTTTAAAAGGAATTTATCTAAATATTTGTGGCCATAACAGCGTGAGTTTCCCTCCAAAATGCTATTCAATACACTTTTAGCCTGAAGTGGTCTGGACGGTGGTGAAAATGAGTCTGACCGCTGCTGCTCCGACGGCTCCCTCACTTCACTTCACAGTCGGTTACGCAACAAAAACAAAGGTTGGCTTTGAGTATGGAGTTATTAATTGAAGTACATAATTGTAGTACTGATATAATTACACAGTGTTCCAGATTAAGAATCTGGATACATAATTGTAGTACTGATATAATTACAGATCAAGAATGATGTGATCATTTGCTTCTGAACCACCAACACTGTACTGGACTGTGAGGTTTTCGTAGGAGAGAGACATGCACTTCTCCTTACTCCCCTATAAGGGGTGCTATTAACAAAATATCAAGGGTCAGAACTTAAATTGTTGTACCTTCTAACATGAATATACTGTATATGATACAGATCGAATCCTGTAGTATAATATATAACAATTATTTAAAGATTTGTCACGGATTAATCTCCTTCAGTTGAAATACTGCCCTCTGTTGGGCCTATTTTCTACCGGTAAAAACTCGATATTTTTCACTTGAAGTATCCAGAGAAGAGGTAATGTACCTGCTCATGAACACAACAGCGTACTCTCTCTGTGATCCACCAAAAATCACCACATGGCAAAGGTCAACAGGCAGTTAATGACCCCTAGGGGGAGCTGCAAATTTTAAAAATTTTATTATTTCTCTTATGATTTTAGTGGATTTTAACATTAAAACACCTGTGTTTTATGCTCATAATTAAAAAAAATGTTTACATATAGTACTATCCGAGTTGAAGTACAGTATTCTGTACACTATATAATAATTTCATGGTTTATTACTTATAGAGTATTTTTGAGTACTTGTATACTCTGAGTAGCTGAGTATTCAGTCTTTATTCTCTGTCTAAATTAATAGTATCATTTTGGTTTCTGTAAACTGTGATGTTGAAGTTCACTTTTATCCTCAAAGAAAGCTGCTCTCAGATTATAAACACTGAATTTCCTTACTCAGTGAGTCCTCTAGTGGCCATGATATACACTGCAGGGTTCACAATAAAGCGCCAACACGAGGGGCAAATGTCATTGAATAATTTTATGGGTTTTTATTTCTTCACGGTATAATATGAACTGAAGTTTTGGTGTTAAAAAAAAACATTTAAAATGATTATACAGATTGTGTGTAAATGTTACCCGTTTGGTAACGATATTGTACTGTATTTTAACATTTTATTTTATTTACTATTCTGTAAAAGAAATAAATAACACATTAATATTTTGGTTTACTATTCTGTAAAAGAAATAAATAAATAATACATTAATATTTTGTTTTTTTTAATGAAGTCTGGGCTAATGACCGGAAATGACCACGTCTTGGCGAGTGGTGCGTGTATGAAATATTTTTCCGGTGAAATCCAGCTGTGGAANCCTTCCCTCCCTCCTCTCCCCTCCTCTCTTGTCTGTGTATTTCTGTGACTGGCTGTGAGGTAAGAACCCAGGTCCGGCCCTCGGAGCTCTGGAATGTTCCCATTCTGTTTAAATAGCGCTCGTATTCCTGGGATAAGTCAGAGAACTCAGTGGAATAAAGAGGAATACGAGGCGGACAGAGAAGAGCTCACACTTTAAGACCTGTCCATGTCTCTCCAATGAGCGGCGGCCAGAGTTGAAGGATACATTAATCTGAACTCATCTGACAGCACAGGACTTTTTTTTCTGATCCTTTTCAGTTTTATTTTTCCATCGGATTTTTTCCTCTTTTTTTTTCTTTCCAAGGTTGGTTCATTTATTGATGTATATTACTGGTACTGACTGGAGCTCAGGTGTAGATGGGATGTTTGACTTCTGATATGTTCTGTTTGCAGTTGAACTTTTATTTTGAAGATGATGCTGTCGGGCATCTTTTTGCTGTTGATGCTTTGGAGTTGCGAAAGTGCACGACTTGCAGGTTAGAATCTTTTGTCAAAAATGCAAATATTTGTGCTGTTGAACCTTTAAGATTGGGTGCATTCGGAGTTTTGTGGTTTTTCTTCAGTTTTCTTGTAATGTCAGGTTCTCTCATCACATCTCTATTATTTGTATTTTTGCGTTAATGTCAAACCTGTTATGATAAAAAAAAAAAACTTCATTGGCACTACACTGCAACGTCTCCTACCTTCATACTTCTGGATAAGGTTTTCTCTTTGTTTGCCTGCATCTGTGGGAGAAAAAAAAAAAGCCAAACTAATGACCGGTTTCTTTGACTTTCTTTAACCACAGAGAGTCCCGATGATAACAGTGTCTACGACCTGTTCAGCCTGGCTCAAGTGAACAAGAGAAACCATGGAGTCAGTTTTGTTAAAGGCTCAGATCCAAACAGTCCTGCATACAGAATCAGTAACGCAGACCTGACCCCCCCCATTCCCGACGGCCCCTTCAGGGACATACTAGACGCCATCCAGGCTGAGAGGGGGTTCCTTCTCCTGGTCAACCTGAAACACCAACACCGAAACTCCAGGGGCAGCATTTTGACCGTGGAGAAAAAGGATGGATCCGGACCCATTTTTGAGATCATTTCAAACGGCAAAGCCGACACCCTGGACGTGGTCTACTCCACCATGAACAAGCAGCAGGTGGTGTCCATTGAGGAAACCGGCCTTTCCAGTGGACAGTGGAAGAACATCACGCTGTTCGTTCAGGACGACAAGGCTCAGCTTTATGTGGGCTGCGAGGAGATCAACTCTGAAGAGATGGACGTGCCCATCCAGAAGGTGCTGACTCAGGACGTGGCCGACATCGCCAACCTCAGGATCGGAAAAGCAGCGATCGGTGACAAGTTTAAGGTAGGATCATGAATGCTCATGAGGCAGGTCTGAAAATACTGCAAAGTTTTTAAAACATTTCTGACTTTGTTGTTTTCTTTTCTTCCTAAAGGGAGTCCTCCAGAATGTGCGCTTTGTGTTTGGGACGACTCTTGACGCTATTCTACGAAATAAGGGCTGCCACAGTGGAGGTGAGCTGAACAAAAAAGAATTGTCAACTTGCAAAAGTGAGGATGCAGACAAAGCAAAATTCAAATGACATTTTGTCTTTCTGTCTTCTCTTCTGCAGCTATGCTGACTGATGTCATGACCCTGGACAACCCAGTCAACGGCTCCAGTCCTGCCATTAGAACAGACTTCACTGGCCACAAATCCAAAGGTGAGTTTTATTTTTTTTTGTCACCTAAAAGTTATCTGTGGGTTTCTCCGATCTGTTGGTCTCCAGAGCTTCTCGGAGATGTCGTAATTTCATATATATATTTTTTTTATTTCCTGTTCAGATGTGCAGTCTGTCTGTGGTTTCTCTTGTGAGGAGATCAGCAGCATGTTCAAGGAGCTGAGGGGAATCGGCCAGGTGGTCAATAACATCATCAGCGACCTCCACAAAGTGGTGAGTTTGAGTTTGTCGTCTTTACTCTGTTTTCCTCTCTTTTCACCCCCGTAACCACCACTTCCAGTTTAGACATTAGTGCGCAGCCACTTGTCGCAGTAATGGCCAAGTCCTTAATGAGATGCATGTGAATGCACAAATATGTTTGGCGGCTGGTTTCATTTGCGCTGCTTCACTAGACTCATGCAATGTCTTAATCACAGTGTCGGTCGGTGATTCATTTCTACTGGAACCTTGGCAAACTGAGAGTTTTCCATCCTCCATCCTCAGTAAACCTCCTTCTCCCTCTCTCTCTCTCTCTCTCTCTCTCTCTCTCTGTGTTCCCCCAGACTTTGGACAGCGAAGAGATGAAACAAGAATTGAGGTCCAAACACCACATTTGTGTCCACAACGGGATGCACTACAAGGACAAGGAAGAGTGGACAGTTGACAGCTGCACTGAATGTACCTGTGAGGTAGGTGTCATTGTAATCCACATCAGTGACATCCCAGTAACACGGAGATTAGATTTTGTTTTTTTTCAGCACCTACTCTACTTCTCCTCCTTCTACTCCACAACATGATGCCTTTCACACACTTAAACATCCTTGTAAAATTGTAAGGGTTGAGTAAAAGGGAGGTCTGGTTCCTGTCATGGTGTCAGGTTCCTGGCAGAGACCGTTTATTTGTAACACAGATATCTGGCTGGACATGTATCACCATGGCCACGTGGGGATTTGACTGATTTTTTGTTGTTTTTTTTCCTCAGAAATCTGCCACCGTGTGTCGGAAAATCTCATGCCCACTGATCCCGTGTGCCAATGCCACCGTGCCGGACGGAGAGTGCTGCCCTCGCTGTGGAACACGTAAGATTGTCCTCTATAAACGTAACATCCCATTTAGTTATTTTTCTTTCTCAACGTGTCACGGCTAACGTCGTCTCCCCTTCCTGCAGCGAGTGACTACGCCGAGGACGGATGGTCCCCATGGTCTGAATGGACCCATTGTTCGGTGACTTGCGGTCGTGGCATCCAGCAGCGTGGACGCTCCTGCGACCGTATCAACAGCAACTGTGACGGCACCTCTGTCCAGACCCGTGACTGCTACCCCCAAGAATGTGACAAACGCTGTAAGTTACTGAATATTTCTGAACATGACTATTGTGGTTTTCAAATTTTGTCATTTTGCAGAATGACAAATTCATTGTGCGTGTGTTGGTCACAGTCAAACAGGATGGAGGATGGAGTCACTGGTCACCCTGGTCTTCATGCTCTGTGACCTGCGGGGAGGGGGTCATCACCCGGATTCGCCTCTGCAATTCTCCCACTCCTCAAATGGGCGGAAGAGACTGCGAGGGAGAAGGACGTCAGACCGAAATCTGTCAGAAAGCGTCATGTCCCAGTGAGTTAAATTTGGATTTGAAGATTGTTGACAAAATGAAAAGTTTAAAGGCCAAATGATAATCATTGCCTCCTGATGTTGTGCTTTTTTAAGTCAATGGAGGTTGGGGACCTTGGTCACCCTGGGACTCCTGCACTGTCACCTGTGGTGGAGGAATCCAATCCCGCAAACGTATCTGCTCTGATCCAGTTCCTCAGTATGGTGGAAAGGATTGCGTTGGTGATGCTACTATGTCTCAAGTGTGCAACAAACAGGACTGTCCTATCGGTAAATTACGCAAACATTGCCGACTTTTAATTTTTGAAAAATCATGTTATCATTGCACAAAATAACATTTTTCTGTTTTTTCTCCACTACAGATGGTTGTCTGTCCAACCCATGCTTCTCTGGCTCAAGGTGCACCAGCTCCCCCGATGGCTCTTTTAGGTGCGGCAAGTGTCCCGTCGGCTACCGAGGGAATGGCGTCATCTGCAAAGACATTGACGAGTGTAAAGAGGTTCCGGATGCTTGCCATTCCCATAATGGAATTCATCGCTGTGAGAATACGGAGCCCGGCTACAACTGTCTACCGTGTCCTGCACGATTCTCTGGGCCTCAGCCATTTGGAAGGGGAGTCGAACAGGCCACTGCTAAGAAACAGGTTTGAGGATTTACCCAGTTGTTACATCGTTAAAACAATGACACTTTCTGCTTGCATTTCTTTAATACGTTGCATTTTTTTCCCCAGATTTGCAAACCCCGCAATCCCTGCCAGGATGGTAGCCACGACTGCAACAAAAATGCAAACTGCATCTACCTGGGCGTCTTCTCCGAGTCCATGTTTCGCTGCGAGTGCAAGCCGGGATACGCCGGCAACGGTCGCATTTGCGGAGAAGACAGTGACCTGGACGGATGGCCCAACAGAGACCTGCTGTGCGTGGAGAATGCCACCTACCACTGCAAGAAGGTAGCCAGGCCCCACAAGGACCAGAATAAAACAGGCCACCATTATCCTGCTGCACTCTATGATTGTGACGACCGTCTCCTTAACCACACTTTGTCCCTCCATAGGACAACTGCCCCAACCTTCCCAACTCTGGTCAGGAAGATCATGACAAAGATGGCGTGGGTGATGAATGTGACCATGATGATGACAATGATGGGATCCCCGATGACAGGGTGAGTCATGACAGCAGTTTTATATAGCACGCGCTTTCCCTTAGAGACCAGACATAGTAATCAGCTGCAGCCGTCCTTCCTCTGGGCAGTAGGAATGTCAAGTGTGTGTGTCTGTGTGTGTGTGTGTATGTGTGTGTGCTTTGAAGAGAAAACTAAAATGGCAAGAGCATAGGAATTGCTTAATACAACAAATTCTGGAGTCTGAATCCAGATTTGAGGAAGAGGTGGCTTGATGCCCGTCTTTCTAAGTGTGGATTCGGAAAGTTGGGCAAGAAAAATGTTGCGGTAAAAGTTACCAGCTCTATTCCATGCAGTGGAATATCACATTCCAGTGAAGGAAAGAAAAACAGGCCTTTTTTTATTTCTGCACGTATTTTTTTCTTCTATTTTTTAACCATTAAACGGTCGAAATAAAAAGATCTATTTCTTTTTGAATTTAGGACAACTGTCCAAGGGAGTACAACCCTGCCCAGTACGACGCCGATAGGGACGAGGTCGGCGACCGATGTGACAACTGTGTGTTCGAGGCTAACACTGACCAAATTGACACTGACAACAACGGAGAGGGCGACGCCTGTGCTGTTGACATCGATGGTGATGGTAAGATAACAACGAAAGTTCTTCCTGGATCAGAATAAAAAAATTAAACATTCACACAGCCTGGAGAACTCAATGTGTGTTTGAACTCAACAGGTATTCTGAACGAGAACGACAACTGCCCCTACGTTTACAACGCTGATCAGAGAGACACCGACAGAGACGGTGTTGGAGACCACTGTGACAACTGTCCTCTGGAGCACAACCCCGATCAGGTACCTGAGACGCTTTCACTGTAGACAGGAAGTAGTGGGGGTGGATAAGGGAACTATAAAGACAAAATTGAACTACATTAGTAGGGATGTCCGCTAATATTGGCCGACCGATATTATCGACCCGGTATCAGCATATTTTGATATATCTGTAAGAATCATTTTTTTTCTTCTAATTTCTCTAATGAAAACCCGATAAAGTAATATTTGGGTTTTGCTAAGTAGTGGGGGTGGATAAGGGAACTATGAAATCTTTACAAAACAATTTTGATATTCAATAATATTGGCCAACCAATATTATTAGCCCGATATAAGCATCTTAGGTAATATCTCTAAGAATCATTATCATTTTATTTCTTCGATAATGAAAACCCGATAACGTAACGCCTGAGTTTTGCCAAATGATGTGTTCTCTAAAAATTTGTTTGGGGATAAACAGCTGTATATTAAAGTGAGAGTCACTAGATGGCAGCATTGCGGCTCATTTAATTAATCTCATACTCATACAGTGGTTACTACAGATAAATAAATAAATATTACCAGGCCCTATATCGGTATCAGTTGATATAGGAATCGGAAATGAAGTGTTTGGACAATATCAACATGTCGGATATAAACAGAAAGTTACTATCGGACATCCCTACAAATTAGTTTTTGTTTTCTAGTGTTAAAACAAAGACACGTTGACACCTCCCAAACCCGAGTGTCTGACAGTGCGCAGCTCAGTTCTTAGAAAAAAAAAAATCTCATAAAAGACATTTCTGTTCTCCTGTAGATTGATTCTGACTCAGACCTTGTGGGAGACAAGTGCGACAACAACCAGGACATTGATGAGGACGGTCACCAGAACAATTTGGACAACTGTCCCTACATCCCCAACGCCAACCAGGCGGACCATGACAAGGATGGCAAAGGTGACGCCTGTGACCATGACGACGACAATGACGGCATACCAGATGAGAAAGACAACTGTCGACTGGCCTTCAACCCTGATCAGCTGGACTCTGATGGTGATTCAGACTTTGATTCTTTCCTACCGATGTCAGAATTGTTGAACTTCCTTGGAGACATATCGGCTTTAGTTGCTTGAAATAAACCCAGGAATCTGTTTACTCTACAGGTGATGGTCGTGGCGATGTGTGCAAAGATGATTTCGACCAGGATAATGTTCTGGACATCTATGACGTGTGTCCAGAGAACTTTGCCATTAGTGAAACCGACTTCCGCAGATTCCAGATGGTTCCTCTGGATCCCAAGGGTACTTCCCAGATTGATCCCAACTGGGTGGTCCGTCACCAGGGCAAAGAGTTGGTGCAGACCGTCAACTGCGATCCTGGCATTGCTGTTGGTACGACAGAACAAACGGACATCTTACTACAAATCAAACCATTCAGAGGTATCATGGCATTGTTGGAGGTCTAAACCATCGCATTCCCTGTTTCAGGTTATGATGAGTTCAGTGCAGTCGATTTCAGCGGAACGTTCTTCATCAACACGGACAGAGATGATGACTACGCTGGGTTCGTGTTCGGCTACCAGTCCAGCTCACGCTTCTACACAGTCATGTGGAAACAGATCACGCAGACTTACTGGTCAACCACACCTACAAAAGCCCAGGGCTACTCTGGCCTGTCAATCAAAGTGGTCAACTCAACCACTGGTCCCGGTGAACATCTGAGGAACGCCCTGTGGCACACTGGAGACACCGCAGGACAGGTAACCACAGATCCAGTCACTCGAATCTACCCTGCTTTGTTCTTTAAATATTAATACATATCAGATTCTAACCTACGTATTTGTCACTCTCCAGGTGCGCACACTGTGGCACGACCCTAAGAACATTGGCTGGAAGGACTTTACTGCCTACAGGTGGCACCTGACCCACAGACCCAAGACTGGACTCATTAGGTAAGCTGAAATCCTCAAAAACTGTTAAATACCTGCAATTTTTTAAACGAAAACAAGCTGAACGCCTGCTAACTTCTTTTTTTACAGAGTGGTCATGTATGAGGGGAAAAGAATCATGGCCGATTCTGGAAACATCTTTGACAAAACCTACGCTGGAGGGCGACTAGGATTGTATGTCTTCTCTCAGGAGATGGTTTACTTCTCAGACCTCAAATATGAATGCAGAGGTAAGTACCGATCTTTGGATGAGGCTATGATGGGGTTTTTTTACTATTTAATTTCCTTGGACCTCATTTGTAAAACACATTCTGTCTCTGATGTTTTTTCAGATGCTTAAGTGGACTGCATACCATTCGGGAAGAATGTAACTGACTTTGAGTATGACTATACGGTATAATAGGAGACCTGGACCAAGACTTTGACTTTTGCCTTAAACTAATGCACATTGGAGGAATGATGAGCTCGTGAGCTAACTCGAGGTAACAAACCACCTCAGGACCTATGCACAAAACTGACAATGTGAGCACATCTCTGCTCAGAAGACATGGTCCCGCTCACTTTGTTGCTCTGATCTGCTTTGAAAGACGACCACACCTTACTTGCTTTGCACACCCCAACTCTTGGTTGGTTGTATTCCCGTGTGGATGAGGACCAAAGAGTGTTTGTGTGTTTTTTTCCCCCCTTGTTGTGCGTTATTTTACATCTGCTGTGGACTCGGAGTTTGTCAGAATTAAGAAAGAAAGTGGGAGAACTTTCTGAGGTCGGGATGAATGTGACTCTTGAAGGAACTGATGAGGGACCGTGGACAGTACGAGTGTAGAAGTGTAGATATACAGTGTATGGTATGGTGTGTTGTTTTTGCCTGTGTTTTTTTTATCCCAAACCAAGCCAAATTTGTTTAGTTTCCCCTACATAAATGTGTCTAAAGTTCTTACCCGAGACTGAGAACCGATCCAAAAATGTAATCTTCTCAGGAAAAAGCACTAGAACAAATTGAGAAGAACTCAAAATCCAGGAAAGCATGGGGTCCCAAAGCAAGCACAATGCACAGTTTTGGAATTTATTTTGTTAAAAAAAATATGGAATGTGTTTTTTTTCTTTTTACTTAATACTGGAAATGACAAAAGGGACGCAAAGTGCGAGGGCCAGTACTTTTCCTGTGGTGAGAAAAATAGGGCGTAAAAAACTTTTTTTATTCTTGCTAATCCTTTTAGCTTAAATCTGCAACCATTAAGTTGTGTAACATTGAAGCAAGCAGTAAAAATACAAGTATCACTATTTTTTAAACAGCGCTTTCGTTTAAACTCGCGTCTAAACAGTGTGTATGATCAGCGTGTTTGAGATTGTGTGTACAATTCCGACAAGGGAAATATCAAAGGAAACCCTTAATGTACAAATATTACCTCATTAAGTGTTTTTGTATTGAGGCCGTGAGCAATACGCAAGAATCACTTTGCTAACAACGGAGTATAAATTGGTTGGCTTCTTTTTGTTTGTTTTTATAACAAGACTCCAGTATCATTTAAGTGCTGTATATAAGGTATTTTTGTAGCAAAAGAAGCCCAAACAGGAGCGTAAAGGATTTAGGAAATGTTGTCTTGACTTTGATGTGCTTTGTGTATTTCTTGTGCTTTTTTTGATAAGTTATTATGTCTGTTTTATGTCTGTTGAGTTCATTTCATTTGTGTAGATATGCTATTTAAGTAATTTATCTAGAAGGGGAGCCTGGGATGGAAGCATTTTTGTATGTATAAATTTATTTGCACACTGACATGAGGATGTCCTTACTTTGTTTTTCTCTTTTGTATGTCTTTTTTTTTTAATAAATAGTGAAGCATTTCTATAAACTTTGTGTTATAGTTTCTACCTAAAGTGCTGTTTATACTCTTACCTGTTATTTTGTAATGTCAAAAAACAATAAAATAATGGAAAAGAAAAAAAAAAGTGATTTTTATTTTTTATTTTTTTCAGACAAACAAATGGTTAAAGAATACGCCGCGGTATTAGTTTACTTTGAGTGACGTCTTCTCCCGACCAAACAGAGCTGAGGCAACTGGAATCTATTAGCTGAGTCTAGTGAATCCTTGGCTGAGGGGAGGATCTCCGGGAGTCAGCAGCAGGAAAACTCACCGTGAAGTATAACCTACTTAAAGAGCACATCAATACAGATCTGACCAGGCACGACACACATTCCTTCACACCTTCAAAAGATAGCGCTCCGTGTAAAAGAAAAATATAAAGGAATTCACCTCCATTTTTTTTTTCTCAGGCAATGAACTTTACATTCACCTCCTGTCATCTCGTGCCAGTGAAAATATGCAGTGGAATTCTTTATATATATATATATATATATATAAAAAAACAAAAAAAACTTTGGAATATACCTTTCTACTACTTGTTGTCTGTTCGGCTGTAGACGCGGTAATAGCATAAAGGAAAAAGAATCCAGACTAATTTAAATCCACCCCCCGGGGGCAGCACAGAAACATAATCTAAGGCACCAGTGAGGGTTGTGCCAGAAAAACCCAAACAGTTTCACAGCACTGTTGCTCTTTACATTAGAGATGACATCATTCTTGCCATACTGGGCTCGCTGTGTTTCCATTACCTCAAGAGATGAACCCCCCTCCCCCCCCCCTCCAAAATACTGCATCAATTATACAGATGCTTTGGTAAAAATGGACAATGTGTCTGAGTTGGAAAGACGTAAAATCATACAGAACTTGGTCTCGTTGGTTTCGCCCTCAGTGCCACTACAAGTGTATGATGGTGTCTTCACCCGCCAGATGGACGCCCCCTGTCTGTGTGTACTTTTTTGTTTCTTTCTTCAGTTGGTTTTGCTGATAGAGTTAGTCAATGGGACAGTTGTAAAGTGGAGTGAATTTGAAGAAATAGTAGATTCTAGAAGAAACCAAATGCTGTTAGCATGAAGGACAGTTGTCAATTCACTATTTGTTGATTTGATTCACTAAGTTTGAAATCACTAACTTTCTTAAACATGTGGTTTATGTTTTCTGAAAGGGCCTTACCTACCTAAGATGGAGTACAATATGTTGGAGGTGTACACGTGCCACCTTTAATAGTTTAAAAAGTTAAAAATGTTTAGTTCAGTGAATATTTTTGGTTCACAAAAATGACTTAGAGTGGGTGCTCTGTTTAGCTTTGAGGATCTGTGTTAGCATTAGCACCCTGGTCTTGAAGCTGAAGTTTAGACACTTTGGTCTTGGAGACGTTTATCTGTAAGTACTAAAGTTGGAACATGTACTTGTCAGTACTTTGTTAGCTTACCATAGACGTTGACGTGTCTTGACTGATTTACAGCAACTGAGTGTGTGTTTGTTAAACCAAACAATTTCTGTTTCAATTTCTTTAATTATTTTCTGTTTTAAAGAGCAGGACGACTGCATTAAAAGTCAAGTAAGTCAGGATTTTGGAGGACTAGCCGCTAGCTTTCTGTCTAGCCCTGCAGGGGAAAAGACCAGCACGGTTTACGGCATAGCACGTTGATACCCTACTAAGCTAAATATAAACCGGCCTAGCATACTGTTATCAACTGTGGTCTAAGCACCCGCTTTACTTTGTTGGACTTTGTGGTAAATAATTGAAGACAGGGTTGTCAGGTTCCTAGCCGAGAACTGTTAGCGGTTAGTTACTTTCTGCTGCATTGACAACGCTAACTGCTGCTGGAGAGACATTTCACTGTCACAGTCATGCTTCTCCACCTTTTCAGACTACTGAGAGTAATTAGCCAATAACGTGGATGCATGTGTTCAGTCAAACGGTGACGAGGCGCCAGCCTCTCTTCTGCGTTTGACCTTGGAGGCCTCACCTGGCTGCAGTGGTCTCAGTCCAGTGGAATGTGAGATCATTCCTGTTGTCAAAATCTGTATCTGAGGTGAAGAGTGAGTGGAATGGGCCTGTAGGTGTCCAGTGCCAGCGGAGAGGAAAGGCAGAACTCCTGGGTCGGGGTCAGCCAGGTGCTCCACCGTTAACCCACACCGGGCAAGCAGGAGCGAAGAGAAACAGAGTCAACAGCCTTGGAAAATCTCTCAAACAATCCAAAGGACATAATTCCTACAGATAGTAATCTTCTGTCAATGGGAAGAGGTCTTCAAATGAAAATCAAGCTCTAAGTAGGTCAAACAGGCTCCACTCTGAGAAGATCCTTCTAATCTGACTTACTCCGGAGCAGATCACCTATAAAGGCAGGAATGGCAGGAATGTTTGGAGAGAGAACGGGATCTGACTGGGACTCCTGCAGAGCGTACATCACTCCTCCACCTTCGTTAACAGCTACACTGGAAGCCTGACCGCACGTAAGACTCCAGACTATATTTTACAGCCCAGGGCTTTTCTTAAATTCCTGATCATTAGCAGACACAACGCTGTCGCTAATTTTTACGTGTGTAGAAGAACATTCTGCGGTCGTTACCATCGGTTGTTACTCTTAACGACAGCAGTTTTCTCTTCTCATCTAAAACGTGTTTTTTATTACGGCAGTTGGCGCGAGGTTTCTAATTACCGCGCTGAGAGGTCGACACATATAAAAACAATCAGAATTACTCACAGCATGAAAACAACGTTAGCGACATGTAGCATCAGGCAGCGTCACGACGTTTCCATTGAGTTGTGAAAAAGGTCATAATTTTTAATTATTAGAAAAGATTGTATGACGTAAATATTAGCTCTTGATTGTGTTGTAAAATCCGCAGTTTGGTCAAAATTATTTTAGCTAAAGTCTTCAGATAAAGGAAGGTTCCATGTCTCTTTTTTTTTTTTTTTTTTTTTCAAACGTCTTCTTGCATGAAATCATTTGGATCGTGGTCATGGCAGCAGCTCTCAGTCAGCACACACTCCTCCAGCAGACTGATTAACTGCCTCTCCGTAAGGTCTGGGCAATCGTTCTGTGAAGAGACACAAACAAAAAGTTGTTGTTTTTTTTTCAATTACCTTAAACGCTACAACTGAACATGGCACGTACGGTCAATTTAGAGTCAAACTCAAGGCCCGTGGGCCAAATGCCACCCACCAGATCAGTTTACATGGCCCATGGGAAATTAAAAAGTGTTTGATTGCCTTATAAAAACGTGTTGCTTCAGAGCGAATATTGACCATAAATTATACCTACCACCAAGCATTTCATGATGATCGATCCTTCATTAAACTGTAGGAGTTCAAGTGCAGCGAATAGACTTTTGTTTACACTCAGGATTGAGCACCTGATGCCTATTTTGTTTACATTTAGAAGAGGATCGAGTGCGTGCTAACTTTGCAAGATTGCTTAACTGACACATACACGTCGTGTGATCAGTAACGCAGTAGTTTTTATGGCTTTTGCGTCTAAATTAGTTAATTTGAAACTATTAGTATTTGCTGGTTAATTTGAAAACTAGTTTCACCGCACAGAAAATACTGTGCCAGTGCGAAATCGGCATAAGTAGTTTTTATGGCTTTTGCGTCTAAATGAGTTCATTTAAAAAACTAGTTTCACTGCACAGCAAATACTGTACCAAGTGCCAGTGCGAAATCGGCATAGATCGGGGTGTCAAACTCATTTTCACCAAAAGGGGGCCATATCAGCAATCCAGTTCCTCTTGTTGTTTCCTTAATACAGTCCATTGAAGGATCCCGCAGGGTCGCGTGCTTTCGAAATTATCGCAGATCTCGTAAAATTTCAGATGGCTCGCAAGGCTCTTTGTCGCTGCACTGACACGCCCGGTGGACTAAAGACAAAAGGGCAGCTACAATGCGACCGCGATGCAGTTGTAAAGCATCCAGTTCAATATCAGGGTTTTTTACTCAGTCACACAAAGACTGATGTAAAAAACGATTTAAAATGTTGTCGGAGCGTCCCATGTTGTCAGACTGCATTTCAAACTCCCAACCTGGCTTACAGTTGTTCTTATTTTTCTAACCTTGGCGGTCCCGCATCTCTGATGTCTGGGCTTTAAATCCTGAAACTATAAGTGTTGAAAGATCACAGGTTTCATCTGAACTGCTGTTATCTTCTTAACGTCCTCCCTGAATTTTTTCCCCCCGTCACAAGCATACTTTACAGCTCTTAAATCTAAGTCTGGACAAATCCACATGTCAAATTTATGCATGCCCCGTGATAACAGTGGCAGTTTGTAATAATGAACTGCATTTGTTCCCTGTGTCTCATTGGAAGCTGTCTGGGAAAAAAAGATTTCCAGTTGGACATTGCTGTTGTTTTTCTTACTCGCAGACAGCCTTCTGGGACGGCATGTGAGTTCAACGAGAAAAGCCAACCTTCTTAAACTGGGTTAGGAAGATGGGGACGTTTCAGTGAACGTCATTGCCTAGTAACAGCAGTGATTTATAATTTAGACGCTGCTTTGATTTGAAGTTGTTCAAAATCTTTAGAGTCCAGTTAGATGAAGGTGAGGAGCGACTAACCCACCTGAGTACGAGTGCTTGGAGATGGTGGTCATCTCTAGATCTGAGGGTCTCGTAGTTTATTGTTTTAGCCAGCTGCATGTCCAGGGTCAACCGGTGCCAATGATATCAAATTATTATCTTCCACGACATTAGTAATAGGTCAACAATGTGTGTTGTTAGCCAGGCCTTAGCACCTTAAACCTGGAGGAGTCCATCAGTAATAACTTCAGTCTTCACTGTCTTGTTGTGTGAGACAATTTCCCACAATTCCTGGTACTGTTACAGTTACTACTTGGAACCAATTGGAATGGTTGGCATCAGAAATTATGTCTTCAGTTTTATTAGGCATTAGGTTCAAAAGATGTTAAAAACACATTCACTTTCCAAGACAAAATATGCTGAGGATTTCCATGAGGTACCATGGCCAATACCACTGCTGGTCAGCAGGGGCTAGTTCCAGGGGAAAAAATGTCAACTCCCCTCATGACATAGTCGATGAAGAAATTCTGTCTCAGTTTGGACTCTGGTTTGACGCCACGGTATAA